TGTGTGTGTGTGTGTGTGTGAGTGTGTGTGTCTGTGTGTGTGTGTGTGTGTGTGTGTGTGTGTGTGTGTGCATGTCTAACTGTGTGTGTGTGTGTGTGTTACAGACAGCTGTCTTGCTGAACGAGCTCCTAAAGGTTGCATCAGTGCAGGAGTAAGTGTGTTTGTTGGTCTCTGTGAGTGTGTTAGTGTTGTGTGAGATGTGTCAGCTGTGTGTTTGTGTCTGCAGGATGTTGTGCACGCTCCTCCTCGTCCACTGCGTGTTAAACCAGGTGAGCACAACAACACGAAGCACACACACTGAGAATCAAAAGCATGATCCACCACACACACCTGCTGTCAGAGATGGGCAGTATTTCAGTGAAAATATATTTAAAATATGTATTTAATTAGTTCTGAGTTTTTTGCCATTTGTATTTTGAGAAATTGTATTTTGTGTATTTATATGAATTAAAAATTTGTTTTCTTCTTAAATAAGACAAGTAGTGCTGTCATAATGATTAATCGCATCCAAAAGAAAAGTTTTTGTTTACATAATGTGTGTACTGTATATATATATATATAAATATATACACACACACAGTCATACAGTATATATTTAGAAAATATTTACATGTATATATTTAGATTATATTTATATAATTTATATTATATATAAATATATTTAATATACAAATATAACATATTTTTGTTACAATGGCAAGATCATGTCAATTTTCAACTTTCAAAACTGTTGTGTGTATTTTTAGATAGTGCAATCCATTGAATCCAAACATTAAATATGGTAAGGTCCCTAAAAACCTTAATGAACGCACTGCACATTTTGTGAAGCCCAAAGTAAACTATTTGACGTGAACTCTAGCATACTAGCCTTTATCAATATAATCAGTGTAACAGTGAACGCGCACACCGGCGCTCGACACATGTGCACTTGTTCAGGGTCTACGCCTTTTCTCTCCAAAAGTTGAATGATAAAATAACTTCATACTTGTTTAAACTAGACTTGCAGGTTATTATTTAATCCCTTTACAAAACGCTTGTGTTCTGTCTCCTCTGATTCTTCTCCAACTGAAACTGTGGTCTTTGTTACTTGGTTAGTTTTCAAAGTAGAAATTACAGTTGATACATTTGATGAACAGATAAGCTGTTTGTAATATGTAACAACCTCACAGGATGTAAAGGACCCGCCATCAACAGAGACCTCAAACCCAGGAGACTGCCCAAGAGCTCCTCAGGTACTGTCTGTCCGTCTTTATCTCTGTCTGTCTGTCTGTCCGTCTGTCCGTCTGTCCGTCCGTCTGTCTGTCTGTCTG